GAATCTTTCTGGACGGTGAAGTCGATGTAAAGCGAATTGTGCAGGTCGCTCCAGGCGTAGTCGATGCCGTCCCGGGCCTTCGCCTCCGCCGTCGCGAGCTGCGCGGGCGAAACGGGCCCGGCGAGCAGCCGCGAATCCAAACCGCCGGGGGGAAATAACCCCCGCCCCGTCTGAGAGGCCGACAGGGCTTGTTTGAACTGGCGTTGGAGGTATTCGCTCTGCTGGGAATCGCCCAGGCGAGGCGAGCTGCCGCGCTCGGGAAAGCCCCGACGCTTTTCGCTCGGCCGCCGGCGCGAGCGGCGTTCGGTGCTTTTGCTGGGCGAAATGTTCCGAATATCGATATAAAACGCCTCGATACGGTGAGGCGATTCAACGTTAAGCGCGTCCGCCCGCAGCGGGTCATCGGCGGGGTTGTGTTCTCTTCGAACCGCATCGGCCCCCATCGCGTCGACCTTTCCCACCGCCGACGAATCGCCGGGCGGGGCCGCGTCGTCGACGTCCCCCCCGACCCAAAGCGAAAGCGCCGCCGCCAGCGGCCGCGCGATGTTCAAGCCGTGGTCCTCGGGCGATTTCAGCCCCTGCCCGAGTACAGGGGAGAACGTGAGATGTTGAAAAAAGGATAAGGGAAACGTCCACTGGGGCGGCTCGGAGGCTTTACTGGGGGGCGTACAGACGGCGAAATTGGGGGTTGCCCCCCTCGCCTCGTCCGGGATTGAGGACGGCGGCGCTTCGCCGTCATCCACGAAGGGGTCGTGGATCGATAGCCGCGTGAGCGTCGTGGTGAAGGGGAGCGAAACGCACAGAATCGTCTTCTTGTCAGACAAGAACAAAAACAGCGCGTTGCGCTCGAAATCGGGATAGACCTCGCGGATGGAAGCGATCGGCGCGTGCGAACTTCGATGGCGGTGCTTTCGGGGGCGAGGGGACGACGCGTCGGCGGAACGAGACCGGCCCGTGGAGGGCCCGTCCCATTCCGCGTGCGAATCGCTGCGGCGCGAACGAGGGGCGTAAAGCACCATCAGCACCGTATACCGCTTCTCCCCCTCGTCCAAGGACGCGTGGCTTTTGGCGCATCGCGGCTCGGGGGGATCGCCGGCCCAAGAGGGGGGAACCGGCTGCGATTTGCACGCCCTGTTGCCCGGAGACGAGGCCCATTCGACCTCGTGAAGCCAGCGATGGAGGCGACTGTGTTCGTCTTGGAAAGGGTCCGGCGCCGTCGCCCCCGCCCTGGACGGGCGGGGGCTGCCGGCTTTCACCGCGCCGGGCCGCTGGCCCAGCAATAAAATCGTATCCGCGTCGGTCACGGCCGCCGTGCAGAGCCAGGAGGTGGTGGGATGTTGCCGAAGTATATGCCGGCCAAGGGGAATCCAGCGCACAAAGTACTCCTTCGCCGAGCACCGGTCGGGGCCGTCGTCCGCCCTGTCGGGGTAGACCCCCGCGCAGTGGAGCACCTCCGCCGTGCGGCTGCTCACACTCCAAACCCGCAGCCGAGGCCGCGCGATGAGGATCGGGACGGCGCCCCCCAAACGGTACGGGGGCACGCAAAGGGCGACCCCGGCCTCGCAAACCGCCACCGGCGCGACCTCGCGGAAAAGCTCGACCTCCGACACGACCACCGCCTCGCGGGGGGGGAAGTAGACAAACCGGATGGCCACCGCGTGGAGCTCCGCGTTTTGGGACGGGGCGTCCGACTGCGGCC